TTCAAACCCACCATCCACTCCTCAGAAGGCAGACTGGGCAATCTACTTCAGTTGTGATACTGCCTCGGCAACCCAAGGAGGGGTCACTATGAGTCAGGGCCAACTTGACAGCACATAATAACAGCAACAACAATATATTTTGTTAATTCTTTAAAATTTGGAAATTATATTTACAGAAAGGATATACAACTTTGAAAATTTCAAGAATTCTGTGAAACATAAATTTGCTTTATTCTGAATGATCACTGTACATTTTCTTAGATTCTGACTTATAAATAGCAGTTTCTTCCCAATAAGTGATTTTATTTCACTAAAAATATCTGAAAAGATTTAAAAATACAATTTTCTGGGTATTTTGATTGCATAATTTTCAATACAGAGTCATTTTTATGATAATATAATTTTGTGAGGACTTACTGAAAAGACTTCTTGTGACTATAAATTGCATTCAAATTTTAAAAATTTCTTTCTAATTTTGTTAAAAATGACCTCACATTGTAAGTGATTTATTAAAAGTATGTCAGTATACTTACATATACACATAAAATTAACATATGCACAAATGACTTGTTAAACACATTAGTTTTAGTTCATAAATTTTTATTAAAAAATTTCATATTAATAACAGTATTTTATCTTATCAGGTACACATACATCATCCTTGGACAAAAGAGAACCGTGGAACAGAATTTCAAATTCTCATGAAAACCAGAAAGCTGGAAGCCATGGAAGCTAATAGACTCTGAACTGTCATCCTTAGGTAAACTTTAAACCTTGCATGTGAGTAAGAGTACCTTAAACTAATTTGGGACTCACTACATGAGATGATGGCTATCCTAAGATGTGAGACTAATAAACACTCCATTTTGAATCAAAAGGAACCTCTGGATTACAACCTGCTATTCACTGTACCCTGAGAAAATTACTTGCTAATCAACTTCAGAAAACAATGTAATTTTGTTTGCTTACAGGTTTTGTTTGCCTCTGAGCAAGCCAGGTCCAAAAGAATGTTCAGAATAGGAGGTTACCAAAACAAAACTTTAAGATTATGCATGGTTCTATAGTCATACAAGGAGCCTGCCATAATTGTTTTAAAGCCAGATACATTCAATTTAATTACTTTGTAACTTTTAAAAACAATGTATGTAATCTCCTACCAATCATATGTCCCATCACACAATTTTGTAACTATTACCTAATGTCAACATATTACTGAATTTCCTTATATGCTCTTACGTGAACTTTTTGAATTGTCTTCTTCTGGGTAACTTAATTTAGAATCCTCTGGATTTTGTGATTCCCAATTTGCAAGCTGCCTTACACTTCAATGAAAGCTCTTCACTTTTTCAACCAGACTCTTCTATTTTTACTCTAGGACATAAGAAACTGTCTTCTGAAGTCACCATTAAAGCAAACAATAACAAACAAACAAAAATTGTCATTGAGTCAATTTCGACTCAGTGACTCTTTGGGAAAGAGAGGGTTTCCAAGGCTATAAATCTTTACAGAAGCCAACTGCCACATCTTTCTCCCACTTAGCAGATGGTGGACCCAATCCACTGAACTTTTTGTTAGTAAGCCAATGAGTGAACCACTACACCACTGTTGTTGTGTTGTTATGTGCCATCGAGTCGGACCCGACTCATAGCGACCCCTCCTCGGGTTTCCGAGGCAGTATCACTACAGAAGTAGGATTGCCCAACCTTCCTTCCTAGGAGTGGCTGGTGGGTTTGAACCACCAGCCGTCTGGTTAACAGGCAAGTGTCTTAGCCACTATGCTACCAGAGCTCCTCCTTAAACCAAACAAGTTAGTTATTAGTAGGAACATTTGCCTTGAGCATTTTTTTTTTAAGAATTATGTATGTGTGACCAAACTGACAACAGCAACTCAAAAGATTGGATGAGAAACTATACTTGAAGATTGATAATTGAGTATTTTTACCTTATTTTTCAAAAAATGTCTCTCAAATTCTGCACATCCACAGATAATCACCTCATATGGATATGAAAGCTGGACAACGAATAAGGAAGATCAAAGAAGAGTTGATGCTTTCAAGTTGTGGTCTTGGCAAAAAATACTGAAAGTGCCATGGACTGTCAGAAGAACTAACAAATCTATCCTAGAAGAAGTACAGCCAGAATGTTCCTTGGAAGCAAGAATGGCCAGACTTCATCTGACCTACTTTGGTCATGTTGTCATAAGGAACCATTCCCTGGAGAAGAATATCATATTTGGTAAAGGGGAGGGTCAACGGAAAAGGAAAAGGCCCTCAAAAAGATGGATTGAGATAGTGACTGAAATGATGGGCTCAGGTATATCAAGGATTGTGAGGCTGGCACAGGGCCCAGCAGGGTTTAGTTCTGCTGTACATAGGGTCACTATGAGTTATAGCTGACACGAAGGCACCTAATTGCAATAGCATTTTGGCCTGATTTCTGTATTAATGTATAATTACTACCAACAGATTCTGATAAACTGAAGTATTAAAGCATTTATAATCTCTCTTCTATGGAATATTTTCAACATTTTAGTGAGGCTGTTTCCCAATTTTCAAATTGTGGGTTAATAAACTTTAATTAATTTCTCTATATTGGTTTTATTTCAATAGGAGAAAATCTTTCTATTAGTGAAATACATGATACATGTCTAGTAATAATAGAAGTACTGAATCTGTCAATTTTACACTTTATCATACATAACCCAAAAAGAAGAATTGAACATGCTTACAAGCCTGCTTCTATTTAATTTTATAAGTCAAAACTTCTTCTTTTTTTTTTTTTTTTTCCCTTAGCCCCATATGCCTGTCTATTTGGCTGGAAGCCACAGGCTTGGGTTCAATTCCAGACCTGAAGAGTAGGTAGGGTCATAGTCTCAAGGGTCTCACTAGGCTTTATCAGACCACCAAATCTGGTCTTTTTTTGTATGGTTTTGAGTTTTGTTCCATGTTGTTCTCCCACTCTATCCAGGATCACCAGTACCAATCTCCCTGTGAGTGGTAGACAGTGGTAGCTGGGCACCATTTAGTTCTTCTGGTCTCATGGTCAAATAGGCTAAGTATCACATGATCTACCAGTCCCTTGTACTAATTGTATCCATGTATTTTTGGTTTTCTTTGTTCTTCTTTGCTCTGGATGAGGAGAGACCCATCATTGCTTCTAGACGGCTCCTTGCAAGCTTTTAACATATATTTCTACTCACCAAAGTAGGATATAGAACAATGTTTTTGTGTAGTATGTTATGTCAATTGAGCTTGATGTGTTCTGAGACCATGATCCTGTGCCCAGAGATCCAGCTACTCACTTCCTTTGGGTAGTTGGCTGTGGCCAAGAAGTCACCTCAACCTTGCCCCTTGTCAGCTCTACCATACACCTGGACATTCTTACAGTGCATATGAATACACATGTAGAAATATTATCTGCTAACCCTATACATGTTCATGGGCACACTTAGTTATTAATGTAAAGAATATGGAGGTGTGTATCTAAAATGCTTTGTGTTTTTATGATTTTTATTTTTTGCCACTTAAAATGGATAGTCCAATATATAATCATTTTAGTTTCCTTGAGGTCAGAATATTTTGAAAACTATTTTTCTTCTTTTATATTCTAGTCAAAGATTTCCCCTCTAACCTGCTTCGCCCTTAACTTTTTGCAAGCTGTAGAAATAAACAGGGAATCATGCAAGAGATTGTAGTGTATTGTAAGTGACTGAAATTAAGCCTCACTGGCTACGGACAACCTTTAGAATGAAAATATAAAAGTCCGGGTTTTGTCCACTAAATCTCTGAAGATTTTAAAGTACCAAGAGGCTTGTTCATGTATTTATTTGGTTACTGTGGGGGTGTGATGGGATATCTTTCTTTTTTAGTGGAAATAGAGAGAGGGAAGTCTATTTAATTAATGAAAAAGAAATACTGTTGCTTTTAGTTGCTGTCTAGTTGATTTCCACTTGTGAAGTCCCTGGTTGGTACAAATGGCTAAACACTAAACTACTACACAAAAGACTTGTGGTCAGAACCACCCAGAGGCTCCTCAGGAGACGTGTCTGGTGATCTGCTTCCATAAATGTCACAGCTTTGAAAACTCTATGGAGCAGTTCTACTCAACACACATGCGGTCATTATGAGTTTTAAGAACAAATAAATTAATAAAAATTTACACATGTATATGCTGATTCATTAACAAATATGTATATTTTGCATACATATATATTCATATTTGTGTATATATGTACATACATATATATACCTCTACTGCATTATAGCAAACTATTTATCATGGTCCTCAACAATATCTCAAAGATAAAGCTAACCTCTCTGATGTCCCATTCCCTTTTCCACAGTCACTATAATTTACAACTCCAGAAATAAAAGCATGTTTTCCCTAGACATACTTAAATAGAGTTTTCTTTCAAACATTATATAGATTTATATACCTTTCCTGAAGAAAATAAGAACCTTTACACACAAATATGTAATATCAGAGCTTAATTGAATTGAATCTAGTCAAATATAAGGTTTTTTTTTTTTTTAAGTTATAATCCTAAGTACTTCTCATAATCACAATTATTTACCTTGGTCATAATCAAAACCACTATCTCTCAATAATAAATAAAGTGCCAAGGTCCACAAGTATGCACACCTTTCATAGCTTACATTTTATAATTAGTGTCAGTCTTTATTTTAACATAGTGATAAAACACATCGCGGTATGCCAAGCTTTTAAGAAGTTAAAAGTTCTCATT